GCTCCTAGTAGTACGGCCAGGAGCCCCTAGTAGCGTCCTTGCTCCTAGTAGTAAGGCCAGGAGCCCCCTTCCCACCTCTCACCACGGCATCGCATGCAACAATCTGAAAGATGGAAGTACGAGTCATCGCAAGTGCATCGAAGCAGCGTCACTTGCTCTCACCAATGGGCTGCCGAGCATCACAAAACCGCGGCAATACCACGTGAATGTTCGACAAGCGTGATTAGCGGCCACGGCCACTATAGACAGCGTGAGCAAGAATCAATTGATGAAAGTGTGATTATGACGAGAACGGATCAGGATAAGCTTAAAATGAATTAAATATGAAGACCAAATGAGAATGAAAGTGATATGAGTCACGAGCACACCGGACCAAAAAGGGGAAGCCACCCTTTATGTCCGAACTTGGATGGCAGAACAATGTTCAGTCGAGGAACCCTTTAGAAGTGGACCAAGACCGGCTCTGCTGCTTGCGTAGTCCATCCTGTGCCAGACGAAAACGTGCAGCTTCACCAGAAGTGCCACAGCATCAGACTGGCCTAAATGTGTATTTGTAGTCATTGATCCACTCAATCTGGCCGACCTGGACAAGAACAACTGCATGGCACCGGACTTCCAAGTCTGAGACAATTGGGAAGTTTCACTTGACATCTGATGCCGAGTGGAAGAAAATGAATTGAAAATGCCCTCCTGTCCAAAATTATCCCGACCTCGAAGATAGGAAACACAGCTGCTGGGAGATCCCTGGCGAGTTTCCAAATCCGTCGATCGTTCTACTATGTTCTACTTTCGTTCACTGTGATTCATGAAGATTCGCCTCTCGACATTGTGATGTAGGATGTTTAAGTTGCCCAAAAACTCGTGTAGGTTTGAACCTGCAGCTGGAAAGAACCAATGCCGCTGTCGACGGAGTGCACTGGAATGCGGCTGAGCCCCCGAACCCAACGAACGGAGCAATCTGATAAAGCCAGCTCCTGCTGCATAGTCCACGAAATAGCTTCCAAAAAGTTCCAGGGCGGCTTCCAAAGGCGCCCCTGGCGCACGGTGAACGGACCACATGCGATCACTGAGCCGCTGTCGGTTGAACCGCTTCGCTGCGTGGATGACAAACATAAGCATGTGGTGACGACCACAGCCCTTTGCTCTTGTGTTGGGTTGCTGTTGCTCGAAGTGATTCCGTCTGCCTTCATTCCTGCCTATGCTCCATGTGATGCCTAACGCTTCTCATGCAATGTTGATCCCTGTATATTGTTTATCTTACCCTGCCTGCCACTTCAGCTCCGATCTTCACAGCTGCCATCGTAAGCCCATCATCGTAGTGCTTCATCTCCAAAATGGTTGATTCGTCCTCAACACCTAAGCAACAAGAAATTGTTGAAGCTCAAGGCTACTAAAGGTTTAAGATCCTAAGCAAGCAAGCATACAGCATACCTTGATTGTATGACTTGTGATATCTTATCATCACTGCAGCAAGGAGTCCCGCCCGCTTCAAGATTTCTTTCCATGCGCTCTCGCCGAACTTGTCCACGACAAAACCACGGAAAATCACATGGATAAGACCGTGCATGAGCTGCAAGGGAGAACAAACAACGCAAAGTGCAGTTCGCAGCAGGCGTCGGTGGGCTGGGGCGGCCGAGGATCAGAGCTGCAGTAGCTGCAGGCGAAAGCACTAGCTGAAAGCACAAGACTATCATCTCCTAGTAGCTTCTTGCTCCTAGTAGTACGGCCAGGAGCCCCCAGTAGCGTCCTTGCTCCTAGTAGCGATGCCAGGAGCCCCTAATAGCGTCCTCGTTTCTAGACGCACAAAAGCACGTCAAAACACCAGTCACGAAGCACACTCACAAAAAGTCCGTCCACATTGCAGAAGATTTGTCGAGAAGAACACCTGATGTTGACGGCCACATAGCAAGCTTCTGCTGGACACCGCTGCCCCCATGTTTTGGCAGCTGTGGCCTTAGTAAATCTGGCCGGATCCTTGCATCTTTTGGCGTCAGTGCGCCGTGTCCCACGAAATATTCTATGTTGTTTGTCCTGGTGTTCCATTTGCAATGAGACTGTGGGCAAAAACATGTGTTTTCACCAGCTTTTGGAGAACTTGTTGGCCGGAGGCCAGAGGTGGTTGAACACACTCTTTGTGCTTGCCTACTCTCAGGGCCACTGGATGTTGCATGTTTTGCCTTGGTGAGTTCGTTGGGAGTTCGTGGGGGCATCAGGCAGCTTGAGGGGCCTCAGCAGGCCTCAGCATTGGATTGTGCCAATGCTAGCACCACCAAAGCTGATCGGCGGGTGTTATTACAGTCCGCCATAGTACGGCCTACGCTACTACACTTAAACACGGGTGACTTGATAGTTCGATATTGTCTATATTGCTTTTTGCTGGTGCCACACCACGCCACGCCACACCACACCACACTACGCCGATATTGATTCACGGCTTCTGTTTGTTCATAGGTGCAATTCTTTCAGACACCAAAGGCTTTGGTATAAAAGCATTGGGACACAGGTGGTTCCGATCTTCTAACACAATTTTCCTCCAGTCTCACGCGCATGTATGTACAGTTCTAACAAGGGTGCCAAGTTCTACTAGGATTTGCCGAGTGTTCCTTGCTTATATGCTTCCGCAAAGCGCTATGTACACTGTGACAGTTTCATGAGAGGTAGGGTTTCACAAATTTGCGCGAGGTGTTTGCAAAGGTGCACAACGCTCCACAAGGGGTGGACAAAATTTGACCAACAAAGCTAGATGATGTCTCAATCGGTGTTTTACCCGTTTTATCAGGTTCAACGTGTTGTGAGATGCCCCACAGGGTCTTGCAAAGCTTCACACATAGAGTTCTACAAAAACGTCCCCCCCCTGCATAAAGACTACAATACTAATACTACGGGTTCTTTGATGAACGACGCCACCATTGCACCACATTTTGCCATACAAACACGATGTGCGCTTCAAACACTGTTGCAAAGCACTTCTGTTGGAGCTTATTCGTCCCCCAAGCTGTTGCAAAGGCCCTAAGAAGGTTACAAAAATAATCCAAGAGTCTGGGCGCTTTCATTGACCAAGATTTGCCGAGTTTCTGCCGACAGCCCAGTTTCACCAAGCGCAAGGTTTTTACTTCCAAGCACAAGCTTTTGGAAATCAATATGTTTTGTCAAAATTTGCCAGATTCAAAGCGAGTACCTAAGCTCCACTAGTTTCATACCCTTTCTTCTACAGCTAACTTTCAAGCAAACTTGCCAGGTTTGCAACATGTTGCAGCATCTCAATCAGTTGGTTGTGACTATATAACCTGGGATTTGGCTGAACCTGACTGATGACTAGTCTAAACAGTCGCATCTTATATTGAAATCACAAATTGAGGATATACTATATATATATATACATGCTGAGCCTCGACCGACGCAATGACAAGGATGCAAATGACAACTAAGGAAACACTAGCCATTTCAAGCAAATGACACAAAACGTTTCGCGTGGGATGTGTACGTTCGCATGTTTTAAAGCCGGTGAGGGAACCTTCGACTACTACATCAAGCTCTGCTTCATTTTCGGGATCTCGAGGCACGCGGCACACGCGTCTCTGCATTGCCACGAGGCTCTGTGAAACTGGAATAAACCGAAATCTATGCAGCAAGGCGCTAAGCGCCATCAAAATCTTGGAGAAGACCTGGGTGCAACAAGGGTCAACAACACCAGCGCAGTTGGAGGCCATTGCTAGTAGGTTGGAGGCCATCACTAGCAGGTTGGAACACATTCAATCCGTTTGCTGCAAATATTGCCCATGAAAACCCTCGACTCTGCTCGCTTGGACGTGATACAGGTGTTTTGAGGTGAAGTGCGGTGAAGTGTTCGGCGATTTGGATCGTATGGATTTCCACACAGAAAGGCTCCACCTTCTTGAAAGATTCCCCTTCCCTTCTTGGTTAGTGTGTTGTATTCTTAGCCGGCTCCTCTTCTTCGCTTTCCCGCACTTATGCACGTCATTTCAACCCTCCTCTTTCCTGTGTCTGAATGGCAGGGTAGCTCTGAACAGTTGGGGTATTAAACCCTGTTGAGATGGGTAGGGGGAAAACGGGTGACCTCAAAGTCATGATGAAAAAGGAAAAGAGTTTGGAGGCCATCCCTAGTACACCGCCCCAAAAGTTTCTGGCACAAGTCAGGGTTCCCGGGAGTGTTCCCGGATGCGCCATCAATGTATTTTTCCTCGCTATTTTGCACCTGTAGATGGCGCATTTATAGGGAGAGGGGGGTGCAAAAATGCAAACGCAAGAAAAAATGAGCTTGCAAAAACGAGCGAAAAAAAACGCGCTATAGATGGCACAATGCACATCAGTGCAAAGCCATCCAAAGCAGTCCAAACACCACTCAAGCCCATCGGTGCCCATCCTACTCTGTTTTTTACTATTTCTCCTGCTTTTCCTTTCTCTTTCTCTTTCTCTTTCTTTCTCTGCACAAGAGATTCAGCTATTGTAGTTCTACTTTCTAACTGGAGTATATAGATGGAGCGTGCCGTCAGGGGTCTCCGAGTACGAGGTTTTGAAGCCTAAATCTCGCCCTTTTTATACTGTCAGGATGCCTACTGATGGCGCAACTCTACTGTGGTACTCTGGCGCTCGTAGATGGCGCAATTTTTTTTTAAAACCATCTATTTTCAGGACGGAGTAGGTTAGAGGCCATCGCCATTACAGTAGGTTCCTCAAAGTATGTTTCCTAAAGTTTGATGAGCCCACCCTTTTGAACTAGGGAGTAGGCTGTGCTCAGAAGAGGCAAGCTGTCGTAGATGTGCATGCCACTAGTAGCTTAAGCAGCTGCACAGGCTAGCAGCTAAAGCAAAAGGTTCAGGGGCGAAAGCGGTCATTATCGCTGCTGTTTTTCCTTCCTTTAGATGTACCGTATATATATATATAGACCTTTACGTTCTGTGTTGAAGATGACTTGGCTGATTCATGCAGTTCGATTGCTTGACAGAAAAGTCCCACCCACCCTCGTGACAAGCCACCTGTCAATCAGAAAAGCCACTCTCCTCCGAGGTTTCTTCCGATGACTCATCATAGCCAGCGGGTCTATCATCCAGAAACAGAGCTCCAATTCCTCCCAAGCCTTGCGCAACAGCCGCCACGATGAAGACACACGGCAGAGCTGCCGCTAAAGCCATGCTCGCTTCAATTCCTGCCAAGGACATAGTGCAAATCTGCTGGCCAATGGTAACGCAGCAATTTAGCAAAGCCATTTGCAGAGCTGTGCTCACGGGTTTTCCTTCCTCTTCTGCACGTTTGTTCAGTGTAGCAACCAAACCAAATGGAATTGCGAAGGAACCTGTTTCCGGCATCACTGAAAAGATCATCACTGCAATCGCAAAACTGCCGGAGTGTCCCACGAAGAACGCGGCCAGAATGCTGACGATCAGCCCGATGAAAATACAAGGAGCATAGACCAAGCGAGGGCGGATGGTGGTCTTCAAAAGGATACCAATGATCATCAATGCCGAAATCAATTGCAAAAGAGCCTTTCCCTGACCTCCCACCGTGAAGGCACTGATGCCATCTTCATAAGCAACCTTCAAGGGAGATCCCTCTTCTGCTTTCTCATCACCCTGGAAAACGGCATTGCCGAACCATTGGCCAGCATAAAGGTTCCAAGCGGTGTTTCCGATCCACACCAAACACTGCACGGCAGCCAAGTGATAGAGCAGCCGCGGACTGCCCGCCACTGCTTCCACCACGGTGAACACGGGCGCGCATGCAGACTGCTTGGGTGCATCTGGATCTCGCTTCAATTGCTTCTCCCTTGCGACCAGGAATTGGATTCCGGCACAAAACACATTGAAGAGACAAATGCCAAACATGAGCTCAAACATGTGGTCCACCGGAGACTTGTAGATCTTCATGATGGAAAAGGCCATGAAGTTCCCAATGGACATCAAAACCACAAACGCCACTTGCATGGGAATCTGCTGCTCCTCGGTGGCCAAGTCTGCCACCAGCGCTCTGTGTGGGGTCTGCAAGATGTTGATCGTCACATCCAAGACCCAATACATGGGCGCCGCAAAGTAGGCCGCCTTCCCCTCTGGCATGAAGTATTCACTGGTTGAGAAGAGAGTTCCAGCAATGCACACCGAGATCAAACCTGCCAGGATCACAGGTCGTCTCCGTCCAAAGCGAGACGTGAGGTTGTCGGACGTGGCTCCAACAAGGGGACCTGTGAAGAAACCGGTGATGGGCCCAGCGATGTTGTTCAAGGTCGCCAGGGAATCAGTGACTCCCAAATGTCGCATGTACGAAGCACTGTTGGGGCCAATGAAACACCATAAGACCTGCACACTGACTTGAGGAAGGGCAATCAACACCAGTTTCCACAGTGGCCATGTCTTCTCCTCCATGCGGGCTGTACCGGCTTCCAAAGGCTTCCGGGATGTACCTGCTCGGAACCACAGGAAGCCCGTGGTTTTCGGTTTGGACTGTCGCTGCTAGGAGCCACAGGCTTCGGGGAGGGCAAGGCTTTCCTTGTGACATGCGACGTCTGCACGTGCCAACATTCAGGTAACACTTGTGACTCTTTTGACACTCTTGTGACTCTTTTGTGGTAAAACAGGCAAAGCAAAAAGCAAAAAAATGTGTGGATCACTCAGGTCACGACCTCCGAGTTTCCTCACACATGTCTCGGCTGAACATCCAAAAGCATGATTGTTGTACAGTATATGTGAACACTTGTACTTCATGTTTCTTCTTTGTGAGGCCTAGCACTCTCAAATGAGACGTCCAACCTGCAAAAAAATAACTATATAAAATGCATTCCACTGTGTCCCGAATTATATGAACACTTCTGCTTGAGCACCGGCAGCCAAATCACAATGGTCAACCACCTGCGAGAATCATGTCCAAACAACTGTGTCGTCCGCACATCATTTTGCGCAGGTTGCGCTGTCCCCACCATCTTGGCACCTTTTTTCCCTGCCAATCTTTGTGACTGGGATTTGGCCATTGTGGTTGGACCATCCTCACTGTTCCACATTGAATCTAGGCGTCTTTTTTTGACATCCTGGCAGGGTGTTGGACTTTGCAACTGCCTGGTAGGGTGTATAGACAAATGAGCCACGGCAAAAGTAAAACCACTCAAAATGCAGGTAAATTGAATGAATTAAGTGCAAAAAACAAGTGGCCTGAAAAAAACAAAGAACCGAGAAAGGACCAAATACAAACATCTCGTGCAGTGACCTAAACATTGCAAGTAAGACCACCACTAACATCACTAACCACTGCCAACCTACGCAAGCGGAGGGCCTAAATCAAATCTCGATGTGTGCATGCCGTACTGACACTAGGGGGCATAACAACCCCTGGTATATATATATATATATACATAATACATGCACTTGCCAGGGCCATGCAAAAGAAACCAGACCAACTAAACACCCACAAGCGTTAAGAGCAAGCAACTCAAAAACGAACAGCGAAGAAGGAGGAGGGATGGAAGGGAAGGAGGGACCAATACCTGAAACAGCCACTGCGTAGCCCTCAGAACAATGAAACCAGCAGGTAAGTCAGGACTGGGCGGGAATTGCCTCATTGACCAGGCGACAATATACACTGTTTGGTCTGTGCACATCTGTGAAGCTTATTGGTGGTGCGGTGGAGCTGAGGTGACGACACAAGGCCTTTTGTTGAAGACAGCGGAACACATTCCCGCTTTATAGTAATAGGGACGCTACGTTCGGAGCACAGGGCATCGCTACTAGGAGCAAGGATGCTTACTAGGGGCTCCTGGTCTTACTACTAGGAGCAAGGACGCTACTACTAGGAGCTTTCTGTCACCAATGAAAGGAAAGACTATAGGTTTGGTCACCCCAGCAGAAGCCCTGTGATGGCCCTGTCGCGCGTCCGCGTGTAGGAGACCATGGGCCAAAATCTGTCGACCCTCAAGCGAGACCATTGCTTTTCACGGCTCGAATCCCATGGCTGCCAGTTTAGCTTTGCATCTATTGGAGTGTCAAAAAATCAGCAGCGCCGCTTCTCGGCGCTCGTGTTTTGCCCTCCAAGAGCCATTGGCAGATCAAGGTCAGTTGTGCAAGACATACTCCCGTCCCGCGCTGTAGAGCAGAGTTGAGGGTGCGAAGGGCTCTGCAAGTCTGGTGAACGAGAAAGCTATACCGATGGACGGTCTCCATGCCTCCATGCACCAAATGCAAAAACGAGCGGAGATCAACAAGGCTCCGCTTGTTGGCCTTCCCTATGTCCATGCTACCCTGACCGGCAATGTTCTCCATCGAATGGTTCAGAGGACGATGCTGCAAATTGTACCCCTTGTGCTCTTGAGTGAAATTATCAGAAGCTGGCGTAGGCTCTTCATGTCCAGTCACAATGAGGCTGGGAGGCTTATGCATGTGAGCGAAGGAATGAAAATTTTGGAATGAAGAAATGCAGAAATGATCCAACAAATATAAAAAATTACCATGAACAGAAGAAAATTTTCATGAACAGGCAGCAAAGGCGAAGAAGGCGCTTTGAAATTGGTGTCCAATAACTCATCTTCCGACTTGACGGGCCCAACTCGTAGGTCCTCGCGTGGCTCCAAGGCTGCAAGGTCGGGCAAGTCCTCGTCCTGACGAGCTCCAAGCGCAGGGTCAAGACTTCTGAGAATTCGTACTCTTCTTTGTTTCTAACAGCGATGGCCTCCAACCTAAGAGTGATGGCCTCCAACCTAATAGCGCAGTGTCTGACTGTCTTACTCACTTTCGGTGTCTCCGCTTCATGTCGACTTTGCAACCCCCGTCACCCGTGTGAATTTCATGACTCATGACATTGAATGTGTCCACATGTCCTCCGGGTGCCACTCGCCACCACGAACTTCATCCCCCCTCCTGCACTTTATACATTATCTGTGCTCAGGCTGACTGCAAATTTACTACTAGGAGCAAGAAGCTACTAGGGGCTCTTGGCCTTACTACTAGGAGCAAGCTACTAGGGGATCCTGGCATCGCTACCAGGAGCAAGGACCCTACTACAGACTCTTGCGCAAGTCCTGTTTGATTTGTTAGAAAGCAGCTTCCTGGCCGCTTTGACATTCTTGGGCTGCCAATCAGCTAATCATGTACGGTGCTGGTTGCTTGTTTGCTTATGCCTGCACGGGGGGGCCCTCTCATGGAAGGAATTTAAGCTGGGGAACTTCCAAATCACAAGGAGTTGCGGTATGTATTGGTATATGGAAAGGTGTGTTAATTGTCGCGTTTAGCTGTTTCATGCTGTTTCCTTTGCAACAATGGAATGTGGAGGACGATCTCGGGACAAGGTCCGCGGGCTTTTTTGGAGGCACGATGATATAGAATGCAACTCAGGGTGGCGAATCCCAGCATCGAGATGAACGGATAGTGGGTAGGACCCACCAGGACCAAGTGTTCACGGTCAACGACATGGACAAGAAAGAAACGCAACGACACGGGTCAACGCCAGCTGGGCACTGAAAAAACGCCCCGACTTGTAAGACTTGCTGCTTCGTGCTCTGCACAGATTTCCACACCGGTGCATCGACAAAAGGAAAAGTCGGAAGAAAGGCGCCAGTCAATGCCAACAAAAAAAGCAAACATACGTTGACAATTGACAATACACAACCGCCTCTTTCCCAGAATTGGCCACACATGGACTCGTTGCCTTTCTAGGTTGGAGGCCATCGCTACTAGGGTGGAGGCCATCGCTACATTGCATGAGCTCAACTAAGCCAACTAAGCAGAAGCAGGAGACGCCGCTTTGATTTGCCAGCTGCGTTCCCGGTGACCTGGCCGAATAGTGGAGGCCTCTCTCAATTGAATCTCCACCGTAACCCGTACGAGCACAACACTGCGTCAAACCCACAGGCAGTTGAATGTTTCTTCCTGCAGGTGTGCAGTCGTCGACAGGTACAAGCGATCGGCGTGCGGCCAATAAGCATGAGTAGCATGAGTGATCTGTTTAGGTGGGGTGTAAAACGGTGCTGTGCCCATCAAACGGGCAAATGTTTGGGCAGGTCACCAGGAACCTGCGCACTATTAGGGCAACACAAACGAGGTTAGCGTGGCACAACAAAATGCAACAACGCAACGCAAACTTAGGGGCTTTGAATGGTGTCCACGCCGGAGCAACAAATTGCGGCAGCCATGCTTGGGCAAGGAATGCCTCCCTTGCATCAACTGCATGCTGAAGCAAGTGCCAACATCAACAAATGTCATGCCGGACATATTTCCATGAATCTGCCTCAAATGGTGCACTCCTGTTTGTTCCACTCTTGTCCATTGGACCAGCGTGCCACCTTGCCATCACAGGACTCCAATGAAAACCTCGGCAACTAATTTCATTCGTTTCATTGTGAACCTAAGAAGTTGTAAGCGTTTCACATCCTTCACTTGGTGCATCTACTTAGAAAAGTAATGAGAAGCATCAACCCCATTGGAATTGCAGCCCGGCCCACTGAGTGTGACGCCCGAGCAAGCGCACTTTGCCATCTTCTTCTCTCAGCCTTGGCAGCGGCGCGACAAGAACTGAAAGAAAAAAGAACAGCACTGAAACTTTGTGGAAAGATAAACAGGGAGAGAGAGAGAGAGAGACAGGAATGACCCGTCAACAAGAACAAAAGAAAATAGTCACAGCTCAAAAGACTCAGGTTTGCAAATACCTTGCACAGTACTTCTGCTGGGCGGCACGAAAGGCAAACTTGAAGCTGTTGTGTGCACCAACAGCCCTTTGACCTCACACACACTAACTCACAGCTGTGCGCTTGGCACACACCGCTTGACGTCATCAATGTTCCAAATGTGTTTCAAGGATTTGGTTCACAGGTAACTGGATGCAACCAGTCTATTTGCCAAAAGTCCTTCGTTTATACCACACTTCAATCAGATTCACACGTGAGCTTTGAGCTTTGAGCAAAGCTCACCCGACATTCGACCACAGCACGGAAGTGACGGGCGAACGCTCCCCTTTCTCTCTTTCATGCGACGTGGGTGAATGGAAGAAAAGATCTGTAAGTCTAAAAATTCAAACCTAGACCCTGAGCAGGGTCTAGGACATGAAATCAAAACATGAAGCAAAAAGACCACATCGAGTGGGCGAGCGAAAGGCCCCCGACCACTTAATCAAACAGCCCTTTGTAACAGAAAGCAAAAGGCTGTGATCCACAGCGCCATGATATCAGCAACAAAAGGCAGTCTGAATGGACCGCGACGCTGAAACAATGAAAATAGCCGATCACTGGCTATCACCAAGTCTCACATAGTCTCTGGATAGAGGCTCTCCTGCAGATCCGCCACTCCGAGCGAGGGGAGCACCGTAACAAAATGCTTTCTCAACGTGACAATTGGAGGTTACAAGAATTGTAACCTCCCATGGTCACGCTGAGCTGCCACCTTTGCTTAAATGGTCATGTGCGACTGCCTTCACTTTTGATCTTGAGCCCTGGCTTTCAGGTAGAGGCTAAGAAACACAAGAAAATACACACTTTAGCGTAAACAATACAAAAGCATGCAAAGTTTGTGCAAAAACGGGCAACCAAATTTGGCAAATTTTTCGTTTTGCTGACGCATCGACGAGGGTGCTTGCTGACTTTTCGGACCGATTGCCTTTTCTCTTATTTTGCAACAATACAAAAAGACAGCAATGTCGCGAAAAGCTTTTGGAAAACACATAGAAAGGACAACGTGACTCAAAATTCAATTACCTTGGCGGGCACTATTGCATTGTGGCCCTCATTTGAGTGTGTCGTTTGGGAAACAGGGCCAGCTAGGACGTAGAACTATGCAAAAAGTTATATTTCAGGGTCGCAATTTGTTGAATGTTTGTTTTTTGATATATGTTTCGTGGATCAATTTTTGTATGTGTTTGTTTTGTTGTGTTTGTATTTGTTTTGTATGTTTTTCGCTGGTTGTATTTTTGAACATGTTTTTGGTACTTTTTTTGGCAGCTGCATTTCTGTCGTAGTTTTCTATTTGTGAAAATATACGAAAAAATGCAATTTGTTCGTATTTATACAAGTTTTACAGCCTCGAACTGCAAACCAGCAAAACCCACCGGCGAATTCTTTTGACAACCAGTGAAACGTGGTCAGGCTACCCCACAACCATGAGAGGCTGCTCTAGGGGAGCCAGCTTCCTATCCCACCCACATCAACCCGTATCAAGTGGCAATTTCCTTCAATATTGCTTGCAGTTTCGCATGCTGTTGAGTTTTGCATAGCTGAAAAATACAAAAATCAAAAGCGTTTTCTAAGTACAACTTGTCAATTTGCATTTTCCAGTCGTGGATTGTATTTCAATATTTCTAGCTATTTTGTCATTTGTACATTGTAGATTGCACTTGGAACCGGGGAACCAACGCTCAGCCTTGCCCGAGTCAATTATTGCGCAGACCTCGTGGAATCCACAAGCAACTGGGAAAAACGAAATGATTTGAAATACCCTGCAACCACAGCTTGAACCATCTTTCCCTGCTCTAGGTAGATTCTATATTCTACTCCGTTGCTCTTGAGCAGCGCTGAAATGAAAGGAGCCCAGGGGCATGTCAAGTGGACGACGCCAGCGTAGTGCACTGCCTGCCGTGCTTTCTTCTTTTCTTGATGGATGTTTCATGGCACCTGCCTCCAGGCTCTTGGCTACGTGGAGGAGCGCTTCCCAGCGCTCGGCGTAGTCCATCGGGCCAAGGAATTTGGCCAGACAAGGGCCGCCCATCTTTGGCCAGTCATAGGTAGCAATGCCCTCGTCCAGAGACAGACTGCCTCAAGGCTCACAGCAAACGCCACGGCTGATAACTTGCGCGCAGCCGTTCCAGTCAAAAGCAATCCCACGCACTTGTCCCGCGCCTGTTGCGCGCAGGCAGCGATCCCTTCCTGGTGATCTCGCCTTGGCAACAACACCATCACAGGCCGGACAACTCCACATGTTAAGCCGTCCAAAAGAAGAAAAAGAGGAAAGAAACGGAAAGATAAAGACAGTGGATGCCCTGTAGAAGCACCTCTTTCTCTTTCCTGCGCTTCCTAGTTGCATGATATTTCGCAAGTCTTCCTCAACTGTTTCTCGGACTGCTTCGACAGCAGATCCAGGCATCCGGCTGGCCTTCCAACAGGTGCATCCTGTCACGAAACTTGCTTCCCCATGTTTGCACACTTCTCTCCACTGTGCTGCGACGAGATGAGTCCCGCCCTGGTCTCCCAAGTTGTCTCCGCCAAGCAGCGCCAGCTGCCGCGCGAGGACCTTCAGGCACGCCCTTGGCTATGTGGAGGAGCGCTTCCCAGCGCTGTGCGTAGTCCATCGGGCCAAGGACTTTGGCCAGACAAGGGCCGCCCATCTGGTGCAATTTTGCAAAAAAATCCAAAGCGCAGAACAAAACTTGAGAAGGGAGACACGAAAGGTAGGAAAGCTGGAAGCCCAACCTCCTCCTGAACCGCCGTGCGAGCGCCTCGACATGGCCACGAAGACCACCCACGCCCTTCCCAAAGAGTGTGGGTCCAAGAAAAACAAATCAGAGCTCAGGCCTTGAGCCAAAATGGCATTGATCAATGCTATTTGACCCAAGCTCAAATGAACTAAATCCAGAACAATCGAAAAAATGTGTGAAGAGAACTTCCGATTGACCTCCTTGTCCCTAGCCTACCAGACCGTTGATAAGAACACATATCATGCAGCTTGTCTTTTTCCTTTTGACTTTTCAGCCTCTTATGGAACAAATCTGTGGACATGTGGTAAGCCATTCATTTCACAAAAGCGGAGGCACCCACCGAATCTGACAGAGTGAAATGAATGTATGTGGACCGCAGGCCAACAAAAAGTTTCAGCACGGCAGGAAACCCAACGCACACACTTCGAGCACTTCCTTCAGGCTTTCTGTGGCCCGGACCACAATCGTCGTGTCAGCCTGATCCCAAAAGGCGGCAAAATCGCAGCGTTTGCAGTGATGCCCTTGCTACTAGTAGCTTCTAGCCATTAGTAGTAATGCCCTTGCTACTAGTAGCTTCTAGCTACTAGTAGTAATGCCCTTGTTACTAGTAGCTTCTTGTTCCTAGTAGCAAGGCCAGGAGCCCCTAGTAGCATCCTTGCTCCTAGTAGCGATGCCAGGAGCCCCTAGTAGCGTCCCTAGAGGAACTGTTGGAACCATATCACTGTTGCAGCACTGTTTGCCTCCCAGCGCCCTTGAAGTTCCTTCTGGAAAGGTATCTGGCGAAACGGAAAACGCTGAAAACGACGACAAATGACCCCCACGTTGTGATGTTGAGCGGAGCTGTTTTTGAAACAAGCCTAGACTTTAGGTGCATTGAGCAAGAATGAAGCAAAGCCGATGCATTATTCATCCTCTTTTGCGACCAGTCAAGAACCCCATTCATGTAGATTGATGATTGATGTTCATCCCTCTAGCAGTTTGTTAATGTAACTTGGTTTTTGCACCAATTCTTTCCGAACTGGATTCGAACACCCCCTTGACACCTGTGACACCCCTCATGTCAATCCCATCCAACTTCAGCATTACTGCAAGTAAGGGTCAATTGGCCCAATTGATGCAAAATAAGCACCATCAGTGTCAATTGGCTTCCACATAATTAACGACGATGCCGGTAAAGGTTGACAGCCTGAAATTCAGCTGAGACTACAGCTCCCTACTGAAAAGAAATGTCGTACCCAGTGGTTGGAGTGGACCACACAGTTCTTGAAGACTTAATGACTTGATTGTACTCCTTCAAGAATCTGAGTTGGAGCATCTTGGAATGCCAATCCAGCCACCAAACCCCATGAGCTTTCTTAGGCACAAGTTTGGGCAAATGGTTGAATTCAAGAATTAAGTAAAACACGCTCTTTGAAAATGATAAGTTGCGATGTTCAATTCAGCTCCCACAAGAGTTTGCATGCTGAATGTGCACAAATTTGTGAAAATGCCACTAGCTGCATCATGCTGCATCTACCAAACACCTTGCCCTGGAATTTGTACCAAAAAAAACATTCAAAAATTGTGGAAAGAAACTGGCATGGCCTGGTACGGTTGGACACCGCGCTCGTTGAGGCAGTGCCGGGGCAACCAGCCTCCTGGCCTTGCTCTGGTCAAAACACCCAGGACATAAGTCAAGTGAACCGAAACCAGCTTCGAACAAGGTTTGGTTCCCGAAGCTGTCTCCAGAACCATTGCTCAGGCGACCTCAACTGACGTTCCAAATCTCCAAGCAGCATCAATGACCAAAGTTCAAGTCCAAACATCTTGAGCGTAGATTTTTATATAGCACCGGTTCTTCAAACACAATCACACCTGCCATGACTCCACAAAGATTTTGGACCAACTGAAGCACCTTTGCGGAACTCCAGAGCCACTACCAGGCAAATCCCGCATGAGGTGTCTGTCAGGATCCAAACACGCTCATTGCTCCAAACACTTTCCGCACCCGTCTCGAACCTTCTGGAATCCGAAAGCGAAAGCCGTTCCAAACACTCAATGTGCAAACAGGTGCCTTACTAGTAGTAACAAGTGCCACGCTAGTAGTTACAAGTGCCACGCTAGTAGTAACAGGTGCCTTACTAGTAGTAACACGCGGAAAAATCTGCGCTTCCCTTCCCCCAGCACCACACAGTGGCTCGGCCTGCCGAGCATTACACCCTGCACCTGCGTGCAACCTATACAAGGGAATTCTACAATTACCAAAGCACCTGCGCAATTTGTTTGTCTCATTCTGGTGAACACTAAACTCCTGCATACCAACTCTGAAGTTTCTAAACCAAATGTTCTTTGATAGCATTGTGTTAGCCACTAAGTAGCTAGGCACGAAACAGCTTGCCAAATGGTAGCCCAACCTTGCATCTCACATGAAGACTCACAGCGCCGAAAGTCGCCAGTGACCAGAAACAATATCGGTGACTTCGAACGACGACAGCTGTGTGGCTGGTGCTTTGGTGGAGATTTGGCCGGTTTGGGGCTCGTGACTAGTGAAGGGACACAAATGAAAGGGTGATCGCCTTCTGCACAGGCTGCTTGGCCGATGGCATGGGCAGAGAGGGCAAAAATGTGTGCATCGATGTGCGCTGCGCGTATTCATAAAGGCTTGGGTGACTAACACACATGTACGAATAGTAATGAAAAGGCTTACGGCTTACGTGAAGCCCATCACCTTCAAAATAGTTTAGTATGATGAAAATGAAACTCTTTCCATCCCCTTCTTAGCGTGACTAAAGTTCTAAGCGATTTTCTCAAGAAGAACCTCAAATGTCAGTACTTTGCCTTAGAAACCTTGTTGGGCTGTACAGTGCACCGGAAGAAGACGGAAGTTCTGCAAGCATCTGCCACACCCAGCTTCAAGGAGCCTTAAGGACATACTTTTGTCTACGCCGTTCTCCAATCTTCAACGATCACCATGTGTCTGCCTGCTGTGCTTCAACGGAGGTCACCCCTTCCCCCAACAACAAAAACCACCACGACGACAACAACATGAACAACATGTTCAGCGTTGCAACACGTTCTTTGTGTGGCACTAAGACTGGAACCATGTGCCCAGCTGCCCTCTGATTTCGAGACCAGCACAGCTTGGCCAACTGCCACTGTGAGCCTTGCCTCTCCACACGCCTGAAGAATCACATCCCGAAGCTTGAACCATCCAAATTCCAACGCCAAGCCTCGCAATCACATACTGCACAGCCAAATTGGAACCCCACCCAACACCTGGTCAAACGCACCACATTATGGTAGCCATGTGTGTGTGCAAGCTGCAGCTAAGCCAGGCCCCAAGGCTCGGGCCAGTATGTGCAGCAACACCACCCTGCGAACGAAAAATCCTAAAAACGGCCAAAAAATCCAAGCAATGGCCTCCAATCTACTAGCGATGGCCTCCACCCTAAGGGCGATGGCTTCCAACCTACCAGAAAGTCCGCCCACAAAATCTTGCCTTCTCCTGAGAAGGCCTGCCGCACAGGCATGACCACACTCCTGGTCGCCATTCACCATTGAAAGACTGAGAATGGTAAGCTGATAAATGAAAACATGTTTGCTCCTAGTAGCGTCCGTGCTCCTAGTAGCAATGCCCTTTGCTCCTAGTAGCGTCCTTGCTCCTAGTAGTGTCTATGGTCCTTTGCAACTTCTCGGTCTTTTGGGCGATCTGCTCCATACTTATGTCAAAGTGGCTGGAACCTCTCGCGCAATATGCGCACCAACACAAAGCATCGCATTTGTCATTGTCAGTGTCATGGGGCAACTTGAACAAAGTTGATCACTTTGACACAGCATGAGAATAAGGCAACATATATACTATGCAGCATATATGTTGTGCACAGTATCTGCGCGCAAGGGAAACGTTGCGCAGCTAAGGCGGCAAAGAACACTTGGCATACACGGACGTCTACGACAGCCTTGCGCAAGAAGAGATTACGCGGTGTTTAACGAATCTCAAAAAGTGATTTGGGACACATTGCAACTAGTAGCGTTCCTGTTACTAGTAGCGATGGCTTCCAACCTACTTGCGATGGCTTCCACCTAATAGCGTCCTTGTGACATCTTGTGACTAGTGCTTTGAACAACCAGTCCGCATGTTGTGATGGGTTATGATGCGACGTGTGGTGATTCTTGTTGTGTATCCTTTGTTCTCGTCATGAACCTCCTGCCGATGCCTTCAGCAACTCTTAACAAATGCATGGGCAGTTGGCGTGGGCATTCTGCCCGGTATATGTTGACATATTCATATTCTTTTCCTTACGTTTGTAGAGCGTCAACGAGGACCGAGGACGTCCAACTCGTTTCTTCTGTACATACAAAGGGTTTTGCTTGATGTGGTTTGGTAGGATGGCTGCCTAAGGGGGTCAGCTTCCAAGACCCCCAGCAAGCACCCGCCCTGCTATTCGCCTCCCCCCTGGTTCAGCCAACGATCCGACGGCCCTGTTGGGATCATTTGGAAAGGCCACTTGTGTGGGGTGAGAGGCGAAGAATCTGGCATAGCCCCAAGAGGAATGCATCAATTGCCTCACGTGTCTTTCTTTTGTCTGTGCTGGCGCAATTCCCAGGGTGGAGGCCATCGCTACTAGGTTCGCTCTAGAAACTGGGGGTCTCCTTTGCACTTCGATGCTTTTGCGTCGCTCTTGCGCCCGCCTGCGCGCACATTGGGCCACACAGGTGGTCCTGCCAATGCACCCCGACCCCGCCTGAACATCCAAACACTACAGCCACTGGTATCCTGACCCTAGAGTCAAACCGAGTCAAACCGAGTCAAACCGGTCTGTCTTGGAGCGCTTCGGAGCTCGTCATGGAAGTGCTCTTTCATTGCGCTCAAGCACAAGAACCTCCCTCAAATAGACTCTGGACTGGCTTTGACAACTCCTAGGTTTCGGAGCTTCCTTTGGTAACGACGATCTGCGATCATGTAACTCATCGAGAACTGCGAAGCTCGGAGGTGCCGCCACACCACCCACCTAAAACTGGACCCTTCTGGCCAACTGAATCTCTGAATCACTGAAACTGTGTAAAACTACTAACAACTTATTGCATTATGTACAGTCATATATCGCTATACGGCTATACGTTGCTGCTTGTTGCATGTTACAGCTTCTCACAGCTACTAAAGCAGCCCCTGCTACGCTGAACAGCATCTCTCCTGGCGTAGCTCCTGCCGGACGTTCGATGCACAGGACGCTACTAGAAGCTCCTGGCCTTACTACTAGGAACAAGAAGCTACTAGGGGCTCCTGGCCTTACTACTAGGAGCAATGTTCGCTACTAGGAGCAAAAGGCATCGCTACTAGGAGCAAGGACGCTACACTGGAGGTCACTGGGCCTCCAGGTAGCAGCCAAGAGAAGGAAGAGGAGCCGAGCACCTCAACGAAGAGGTCAAACAGTGGGAAATTTGAGAACCAACTGGTGCAAGCTAAAACTCCAGGCAAGTGAGCAATACATGACAAAGATATATATATATATATTGTTCATGTCATATATTTGGCACTTATAGTATATGGCAACCATTTGCGAGACTTCAAGGCATTGGTGAGGCTTCCAGTCCTCTCCTACATGAGTATCGTTAGGACCGGTACAAGGGGCTGGCCTTCCAGAGGGGTGGCACAAAGCACTTCTTTCACATTTCCTTCTCATCACCCCTCTGAACAAAAAATATGTTCAATTGCAACTTAAGGGCGTGTCGACAGAAAGTCGCTGGGAAGAGCTGAGAAAGAAACCACGTCCATACAGCTCATACCCAACGCCACACTCCCGGCAAAGAACAGGCAATCTGTGTGATTGTCAGCTTTAGAGGTCTGCTGGTCCGTTTTCAGAAATTGAAGATTCCAAAAATGAACTGCCTTTCTTCTAGAGAGTCTGCTTAGGTGGAGGCCATCGCTACTAGGTTGGAGGCCATTGCTACTATGGTGGATAGCTGCACGACGTGAGGAGAGAGTTCTGGTGCGAAACACTATGACAAGCCGGAAGCTACACCTCCATTCTCACAGCTGAAAACTCAAACAGGCGTTCTTCAAGAAAGAATCGGCTGACCACTGGTGTCCTTCGGAACTGATTTAGACCACTGGTTGGGCAAGGACGCTTTTAAAAACGAGGACAATGGACATGTGAATGACACCATCCCGTGGCGACAGCAAGCACATACAAACACCATCCAGGGTTCAAAGGCAAACAAAATGACACAGCAACATGCCATGCGTAAAGAAGACGTGATTTCTGTAGGCTTGTCATACCGTGCTTCGACACACATGCTGGTGGGAGCACTGCAGCGCTGTTGCCTTTCTTCCCCAGGTCGTATGGAAAAACCTCGCAAGCAGGCAGCCAACGTGAAACTCAAAACAAGGGCAAAAATGTTTTTCCAGCAAATGGCCAAGCGGCAAATTTCTTTTCGCCATTTCTTCGTCGACGGACCTCTGCCTTCTCTACCACGTACTCCTCACGGACATCAATTACAGAAGGGCACGTTCAAATAATAGTAACAAAACTAAAAAATGTTAGATATCTATTTAGCGACAAGAAGCTACTAGGGGCTCCTAGCCTTACTAACCCTCAAAATCACTTTGGTCATTCAGGCCTCAATCATTGTCATGTTGCTGCGCACTGTGTGCTGCATCCTGGGACACGACTTTTCAGACCCCCTCTCGACGAATTGTCGGCCGACTCAACACGCAGCACGGCTTAAGACCGGAAGTGAAGGCCAAGGCGTAAGACTGCGCACTGCGTACCAGGCGTGTGCTGGACTTTGGTTCTTCTCAGTGGAATTACAGGTTCCAGAACGCGAGCAGGGCCAGATGTGTCAAGACATGCCTTGCGAAATGCATATTCCCAACATCAAAATCTTCCCAAGGACGGCGAGATACAAGGCCCCTACCAACACAAGAATGCTTTGGGGTCTCGCGAGTTCACGAGTTCACGGACCAGTGGACCGAACCGAGTTTGTGCGTCGGAGAGGGGCTGGTGACAGCGAGAAACAGAGCTCGTGGTGCAAAATCCCGTGGAGCGGCTCACAAGCCTATCTTGGCCATAGGGATCCGAATCCGAATGAGGTGGAAATGCACCCACACAAGAGAGTTTAAAAACTGGACGACGAGTGGCCCGAATGCATTTTTCATCATGTAGGAAGTCAGAGTGCGAGTTATCCGGTAAGTGTGCGGTGTGAAGTGTTACGTAGGTTTCCTGCTAGTAGCTAGTAGCTTAGTGGCTTCAGCTAGATGTCCACACGGCATGAACATGTGAAACATGTGACGTGAACGGGCAATGGCAGCCAGCGTGCTGGCTTACCCACTTGAACTATGATGGTAGCCAGCGTGCTGGCTTTGCCATCTCAACAATGGCAGCC